CCCTCTGCTTCCTGGCCCATCCATGCGGGACAGTCCCCCGGGGGCCTCAGGGCTCCAGGCCGGCTGGGTCTGGCCTTCTCGGCTGACTTGCCTGGGGAGGGGAGGGGGGGCTAGATAGGGGACTGCTGGGGCCCTCCAGACATTGAGGGTCTCTACCTGCAGATGGCCAATCCAGCTAAGGGGCCCCTCCCTCCACCTTCCCAGCTAGAGACCCTTCCTGGGTAGGATAGCTGGGTCTCCCCTGGGCCTTGGGGGCAAGGAAGAAGGAAAGACCGGTGAGAGAGTGGGGTGGGCAGGGCAGGAGGGCTCAGCTGGTTCTCTCTCTCGAGGGGCTTCCCACCCCCACCCCCCGCACAGCCCTTGGGAGCCCCAAATAACCGCTTCCTCTTCCAGTCGCTGGTGCAGTCACGGAAGGCAGGCATCACCTCGGCCATGGCCACCCGGACGTCGCTCAAGGACGAAGAGCTGGTAAGGGCGGGCAGCAGCTGGGCCAGGATGCCAGGGGGTCAGGCCCTGAGCCCCAGGAGGGGGGATCCCCTGAGGCCGCCCCTGAGGTGCATCACACACACACACACACACACACACACACACACACACACACAGAGGCAGATGAGCAGAGCACAAAGGCCACAGGGGCTGCCCCCACAGCAAGCGCTTAGGGGAACAATGGAGACCGTGGGGGTCTTTATGGATGTGGAGGGCAGGGCTCAGGAGAGGCGTTTGCTAGAAGATGGGAGCCCACTCCTGCCTCCCTCCCCCCTTGGGGCATCCCTGGGGGTGGAGTCCCTGGGGGAGTGGAAGGGGTCGGGGTGGGGAGTCAGGCTAGGCCCTGGCTGGGCTTGAGAAGAGCAGGGGAATTGGGGGGGGGGGAGACGCTGCCGGCCTCTGCAGGAACCTCCGGCTGTTTTGCCAGGAGAGGGCTGGGCTCTGTGCCAGGTGCAGCCGTCCCTCATCCCTGGGATTGGGGGAAGGGGCAGAGGGGTCTCCTCCTTCCTTCCTTCCTTCCTCTCCTTCTTCCAGAAGTCCCACGTGTACAAGAAGACCCTCCAGGCCTTAATCTACCCCATCTCCTGCACCACGCCCCATACCTTTGAGGTGTGGACTGCCACGACCCCCACCTACTGCTACGAGTGCGAGGGGCTTCTGTGGGGCATTGCCCGCCAAGGGATGCGCTGCGTGGAATGTGGGGTCAAGTGCCACGAGAAGTGCCGAGACCTGCTCAACGCCGACTGCCTGCAGAGTGAGTTGCCCTCCAAGTCTCAAGGGGGGGAGGGGGCCAAAGGAGCAGGGAGGACCTCAAACCTTCCCATGGGCAGAACAGGCTGGCATCCCCTTCCGTCTCTGCTGGAGGCCTTGCTGAGGAAGGAGAGCCCGTGTCCAAAGGGGGGGGTGCAAGTGCCTGTCCCTCCCGGCAGAGGGTCCAGGGCGTGGGAGGGAGGGATTCCCTGCTCCACAGAGGCAGAGGGGGGAATCGGGGTGGGGCTTCTGGGTAGACCCCCTTTCTCACTCTGGGCTGAGAATTGGAGCCAGATAGTGCTCTGGCTGCAGAGGGGGAATCCCCTGGGAAACCAAGTCTTGGGGTCCTGCTCATGCCCCCCCGACTCCCCTTCAGGGCTCTTCCCCTGCATTCTGCCTTTGGAAGGGCCCCCATTGGGAGAGGGGCTTGCAAGGTGGGTGGGGCTGAGCCCAGGGAGACTGGGGTCCCAAGCCCCTCCCTGCCATGGAAGCTCTCGGATCCCCCCATTGTTGCTCTATTCAGCCTGAGCCCCCTCCTTGCCCCCCCTTGGAAGGAGGCCTGCCGGCAGTGCAGCTTGTGGGGGCTCCCTGAGGGAGGGGGGCCTTCTGAACTGGGTGGGCGCAGGAGGGCCCTGTGCCAAGGGGAGGGAAGCCCGGCTCGGGGCCCTCCGTGGGAGGGGAGGGGGCCGCCTTCCTTTCTTGGCTGCCCTTTCTTGGTGTCGAAATGATGATTAAGGCGCATCCTTGACGAGTGCCACTTTCGTCAGAGTCCCTCTGTCAAGAAACGTTTGCGCAGCGCCAGGGAAGATGGGTTTTATTTTAAACCACAAAGCCTATTTCGGTTCCAAGAACAAATCCTATGCAGGCCTCACCCTCCCACCCAACAGATGTCCTCCATCCCTCCATACAGGGGAGAGGCAAACTTTCTGAAGGACCTGCGGGGCTTCCCTTCCCTCGCGCAGGGGGGCCTTTCCCGGGAGGGGGGGAGACGGGCTCGGACACCTGGACTCTTCTCAGGAGGGGCCTTCCCTCTCGCTTTTGGGGGCTCCTTCTTCCGATGGGAATGGCCAAGGGCTCCTTCCGTCCCCTGGGAAAAAGAAAAGAATAATAGCAATAGCAATAGCAGTTAGACTTATATACCGCTTCATAGGGCTT